ATATCTTCATTAGTAATTTACCGAGTTTGATGAGACTCCCAGGTGTGTTGAACAGGTAATTAGAGTAGAAATGAGTATTCTTAAGAGAGATTAGGTCAGAGGTCAAAGCCAGAGGTCAAGGTTTAAAGTTTTACACAGGTCCTTTACATCTCATGAACAGGTTTAGAACAGGATAAAGATTGAGGTAAAAAGAAGAATGAATAACAAGAAGGAAGAAGGAAGAAGGAGAAGATAGGAAGAGGAGAAATTTAGCAAAAAAGAAAACGCAGGAGGGAAGAGAGGTAAGGGGGTGTATATATAGATTAAATCTTTTCACCTGAACAATTTGTGGTGAAAGTTTTAGATAAGGAAAAAAGAAAGTTGGAGAAAGCACTCGGTAACCTGATAAGGAAATCACTGTGGGGATTTATCGTTATTGATAGTAAATATGGATAGATAAATGGGTGTGGATGGTGGTAGGTGTGGATGGTGGTAGGTGTGGATGGTGGTAGGTGTAGATAGTGTTAGTAGCGTAGATGCTGTGCAGGTAATGAATCATAATTATTTTCTTTTGTACACAACAGGGAAGTAGTAATTGGTGGTGGTGGTGGTGGTGGTGGTGTGTGTGTGTGTGTGTGTTTTAGGAGGTACAGAGGAGGGTAGGGAGGGAAGGAGAGAATAAAAGAGGGAGAGAAGTAAGGAGTTAGGCAGGCAAGGAGAGAAGGGGGAAGAGAAAGAGAGAGGGAAGGCGGTAAGGAAGGAAAGAGGGAGATACATAGATAACACTTACCTGGCAATATGTTACCAGGTGAGAGATCTAATTAGTACGAGACCTGCTGCTCTCTTTCTCTCTCTTCCTACATCGGGTGGGTGTGTACTCTCTCTCTCACCCTCTCTCTCTCTCTCTCTCTCTCTCTCTCTCTCTCTCTCTCTCTCTCTCTCATCTCCCTTTCCACCGTCGTTATCCCCCACCTGCTGTGTCCACTCACCCAGCTAAGTGTCGCCCTCTCACCACCGCACCCAGCCAGGACCTTCACGTCTCAGAAGCTACTGTACCTTTTGGCACCTCTGGTTTAGCGTAAAGTTAGTCCCTGGTAAATATTGTGTGATGCTGTTTATGTCTCTGAGGTAAAGAGAAATTAAAACATTATACAGTTGCAAGTACGAGTCTGTGGACAAAAAGACAAGCACACACACACACACACACACACACACACACACACACACACACACACACACACACACACACACACACACACACACTGACCCTATCCATAACCCTCCCATATACTATCAAGAAACTACATAATAAATACAAACCCTAAAACACACACAAAAAATAAAACAAAAAGTAAAAAAAAACCTTAACTTTCACCGGCCCCAAAAAAGCGAGAAATAGATTTAGCAAAGAAAGAGAGAAAATCGCAATAATACCAAGATTATTTTTCCTTTTTCTTTAGTGGCTGTGAGTCAGATGTTACTCCGCTAGTCTAGATCTTTATTATTTTGGGAGCCGGAAGCAGTTCTTGTTGAGCCAGAGGTCACGTCAAGTAAACCTAATATTTCTGTTTATTATTTTTTTGTCTCTTTTTCATTCGTTTTTGTTGTTTATCTTTCGTATATGAGTGAAGACGTTCGTTTGTGGTATACGGTGTGTGTGTGTATCAATAATAATATCAAGAAAATTGGGAGGAAGAGAGAGGGTAAGTCAGTTAGGAAGGAAGGAAGGAACGAAACAAGGAAGAGGGACAAGGCAGTGATGAAGGAAGAGGACCGAGGAGGGCAGTGATGAAGGAAGGGACCGAGGCAGTGATGAAGGAAGGGACCGGCAGTGATGAAAGAGGGAAGGGACAAGGGCAGTGATGAAGGAAGGACCAGGCAGTGATGAAGGAAGGGACCGAGGCAGTGATGAGAGGGACCGAGGCAGTGATGAAGGAAGGCCACAAAAATGTTCTTCATGCGAGGAACAAACTCACAACAGTGCCTGAGGTGATGTTAAATGTTGTACCACTTTCTTGTTCTTTGTGTTGGTGTTGAGTATTGTGTTGAAATACACCGCTGTTATTGTTCTTGCTTGTGTTATTGTTGTTATTACGAGTTATTATTTTTATTATTATTACCGTATTATTATTATATTATTTATTATTATTATTATTATTATTATTATTATTATTATTATTATTATTATTATTATTATTATTATTATTATTATTATTATTATTATTATTATTATCATTTTCCTACTGTTATTTACGTCTTAAATCTCGCTCTTTCACTTCACCACCAACCATGACGATCACACAACACAAATGCACTAAATTTATCCCCCGTGAGTTTTATCTAAGTTTAAGCCTTGGTTTTGGCCAGTAGGGGTGGGTGGTGGAGGATGAAGGGGTAGGTTGTGGGGGTGTGGTGATAGGGGTGGTGAGGTGGGTGGTGGGGTGGTGAGGTGGGTGGTGGGATGGTGGGTTGGGGTGGGTTGGTAGGTGAGGTGGGTGAAACGTGAACATATTCAGAGCATCATATCTCGTTTAATATTCATCGGATCGCGTTCAAATTTGACACCCAGATACATGATATTATTCTCCACATTAAAATATTTTCCCAACATTTTTTTCCCCCAGTCACTCATTTTATATTCATGTGGTTATGAAGCTTCGGTGTGTTTAGGTGCTGTTGTTATTATTATTATTATTATTATTGTTATTATTATTGTTATTATTGTTATTATTATTATTATTATTATTATTATTATTATTATTATTATTGTTATTATTATTATTATTGTTATTATTATTATTATTATTATTATTATTGTTATTATTATTATTATTATTATTATTATTGTTATTATTATTATTATTATTATTATTATTATTATTATTGTTATTATTGTTATTATTATTATTATTGTTATTATTATTATTATTATTATTGTTATTATTATTGTTATTATTATTATTATTGTTATTATTATTATTATTGTTATTATTATTATTATTATTGTTATTATTATTATTGTTATAATTATTATTATTATTGTTATTATTATTATTATTAATATTATTATTATTATTATTGTTATTATTATTATTATTATTATTATTGTTATTATTAATATTAGTTATTATTATTATTATTATTGTTATTATTATTATTATTATTGTTATTATTATTATTGTTATAATTATTATTATTATTATTATTATTATTATTATTGTTATAATTATTATTATTATTATTATTATTATTATTATTATTATTATTATTATTATTATTGTTATTATTATTATTATCATTATTGTTATTATTATTATTATTATTATTATTATTATTATTATTATTATTATTATTATTAGTAGTAGTAGTAGTAGTAATAGTAGTAGTAGTAGTATTAGTATTAACGAGAGGAGAGGGAAGGTTACGGGAAGACAGGTGGTGGTGTAGACCGTGTGACTCGAGAGGAATTTCCACGTTACATTTTCCAGTGTTCCTGAAGACGTCGACCCAAACACCTCCACCCCCCTCACCTCACCCCTCACCCCTCCCCCTCACCCCTCTGATTGGTCTGTTGCTAAATCTATTTATCGAGCTTAAATGACGTCAACAACACTTTGATTGTAGTTTTCCCTAGCAAGAGGAGGAGGATGAGGAGAAGAGGAGGAGGAGGAGGAGGAGGAGGAGGAGGAGGAGGAGGAGGAGGAGGAGGAGGGAGGAGGAGAGGAGGAGGAGGAGGAGGAGGAGGAGGAGAAGGGAAGGAAGGGAAGGAAGAAAAGGAGGAGGAGGACGAGGAAGAGAAGGAAGAGGAGGGAAAGAAGAAGAAGAAAGAGAAGGAAGGGGAGGGAAAGGAGGAAGAGGAGGAGGAGGTGTTTATACTGGTATAATGTGTTTCAAGCTTTTGACTATACTAATATATTCTACTTTTAAGCTAAAAATAACAATTATCCCTTAAAGAACTCACTAAGCTGGCGATAACTACGAAAGATTGGACTTAAAGCTTTCACTGACGTCATTAAGAGGTGATTAACAAACAACGAATCCCTTAACAGCTAGATCATTATTTAAAGTGTATAGAATTTAATGTACTAATGTAGTTATTCATTATTATACACTTAAAACAGACTCTTTCAGTGTTCAGTGCCTCAAGGCTTCAGTGTGATAGTCTATATTGTAATGACTCCCTGGTAATACTGTCATGTCTACTCAGAATATCACCTACCAATACTCTAGAAGCTGTTAGTTATATGATATTATTGGTTATAGAGTATAGTTGATGTATTAATTTGGGGCATTTATTAATGTTTATGTAATTTTTTTGAGAGTTTTTGATGTTGTTTTACCTGATAAATAATACTCTAGCGCTAACCTAACCTAAACATACCTAACATAACCTAAACATACCTAACCTAACCTAAACTAAACTAAACTAACCTAACCAAACCTAAACATATCTAACCTAACCTAAACTAACCTAACCTAACTTAACCTAACCACCATCCTAACTTGACCTAGCTCAACTTAACCTAACATAACAGAGGTATAAAAATCTCCTCCCCCCAAACACATGTAACAATCCATCTCATATGCAAATGAACCTAATTTTAGCACCATATAGAATTTCATGATGTACGGAACAGCATAATGGGCTGGACACGGGTAGCAAAGAGACGCCATTATTGACAACAACAGCTAGTTCACTATATTAGGGTGTTCGTTATAACAGAGGTGTGGATATTGGACAATATATTTTAGTTTTCCCAAATTTATTCGTAATATATCGAAATAAATATATAGCTAGAGGGATATTATTTATGTGTGTGTGTGTGTGTGTGTGTGTGTGTGTGTGTGTGACGACGATGAGACTGAATTCCGCTGCTGATGACAATGATTTTACTAATAATTATAATAATGATGACGCTGACTTACTGAAGGTGATAATAATGATGACAATAATGACTTAACTCTTCCTAATGATGACGATGACACACCAATAAAATCTGCTGACGACAATGATGACTTACCGAGTATTCCAAGACGATAGTTGATAGTGACGACGATGACCCGACCAAGGGCAGCCAGGACGGACCCATCGTAGAGGCTTGAGGATCCCCACTCGTAGGATTCCCCGTGGACGAACACAACCACGGGGTAGGCGGCTGTTGACATGTCTGTGTGAGAGAGAGAGAGAGAGGGAGAGTTAGTGAGAGACGGGGGGAGAGAGAGAGAGAGAGAGAGAGAGAGAGAGAGAGAGAGAGAGAGAGAGAGAGAGAGAGAGAGAGAGAGAGAGAGAGAGCAACATTATACCACAACTCCGTGTTTTCATTCCTCGTCACACAGCTCTATGAATGTCTTTCCTCACTCACACAGTTAATCACTCACTCACTGTTTCTCATGAAAAGTCGAACCCAGGTCATCTCCATATCCACCACTTCTCCAACGACCTCTCCCCACCACTGTCACTACCTCCACCACTCCTTCAACGACCTTTCTCTCTTCTCTCCACCTCCTCCACCATATCTCAACCTCCACCATCAACGATAGTCCCCAACATTCTCCAACAACCTTCCCCACAATCCCTCTTCCTCCACCCTTCTCCATCAGCCTCTCCACCTCCAATTTTCCTCCTTCCATGACCTCTCTCTCTCTCTCTCTCCAAAACCCACCTTTTTCAGCCAACGAATCTTTTTCCCATCAAACTGCTGGGCAATTCCTCTCCCCACCTTCACCTTACATTCTTATCCCGCCTGACTTGTGCATTCTACTGCGTCCTCTTCTTATTATTATTCTTCTTTCTCCCCTTTATCTTGTCCCTTATTGTCCTCCGTCTCTTCTTCCTACAGTGTGTCTTCCTCTTCCTCCTCCTCCTCCTCCAGTGTGTCTTCTTCTTCCTCTTGTCCTGCTCCTCCCTCTCTTCCCTTGTCCTCCACTTCCTCTTCCTCTTCTTCCCCTTGTTCCATTCCTACTTTTACTCCCTCTCCTTCTACTCTTCCTTCCTTTTCTCTTTCTCCATCAACCCCCTCTTCAACTTTCGACTTAATTCTCCACTCGCTCTCTCTTCCTATTTTCTCTCTCTTCCGTTCTTCTTTCCCTTCCTCCTTCTCATCACACTTTTTCTCCTTCTCCTTCCCCTTTTTCACCTCTTCCTTCCTCCTCCTTCTCTCTCCTCCTCTTCTCTTCCCTCTGTGTACCCGGTATCAGAAAAATCTCTCGCTTCCCTCCCTGACCATCGAGCGGGAACAGCCAAACCCTTTCCATATATTTCTAACCTTTCCCATCCATTTATTTCTCTTCCATCCACTGACATCTATCTATTCCTCTTTCGTCTATATCCCTCTCTATACTCTTCCTTCCCTATCTCTTTTGTGCGTATTTTTTTCCGTCTATTCCATATTCCTTTTATTCTTCTCTCTCTCTGTTCTATCCCATTCCATTATTCTATCAGTCCAGTCTTGCTTTCTGTTCTTTCCTACCCTCTTCTATTCTTCCTCTTCCTCCTCTCTCTCTATCCCCTCCTCTACCCTACACTCTTCCTCCTCCCTCTACTTCTCCCACCCCCCCCCTTTCTTCCTATCTTATACCCACCCTTCGTCTCCTCCTCCTCCTCCTCCTCTATACCACCATTAACCTTCCACTATGAAACAACTATCCTCCCCACCTCCACCAACAACGCCCCTCTCCACCACAATGCTCCACCACCATCACCAACAACAATACCATCCCGCTCCACCACCGCCCCTCTCCTCCACCACCGCCTCACTCCACCACCGCCACCACCACGACTAAATGTTGCAACGTTGCTAATTACCAAAGGTGATTCATCATGGGCGGGGTCTTACATACTGCCGAACCCACCCACCACCCATCATCAACACAGCCGCCACCCACCACCACCGCCCCTGCCACCCACCACCGCCCCTCGCTCAATACCAAACCCCCTTTCATGCCCTCAGATACCCTATACAGAGGTAGGTTTGCGGACATAGTGTAATTTACGCAAGGTGACGGAGGGAGGGTGTGCGTAGATAGCCTGGAGGTTGTCGATGTGTATTAATCTACGCCGGGTCATCACTGTGTATAAATGTGAGTGTATTGTAACTATTTACTTAATAATGCAGGTGTATAAGTGTTGTATAAACTGACTTAATAATGCAGGTGTAAAGATAAACTAACTTAATAACGTAAGTGTTTTAATTTTTTAATAAACTTCAGAAAATATCGTTCAACAAAACTTTCAATAAAAATGAAAAAAAAAGTAACTTTCAAGAACAAACAAACTTTATTCACCAGTTGAGATTTTGTTTTATCAAGTGACCTTATTAAGCAAAAGTTATTACACCTGTTGTTTGTCCTAATTTACTAATTACCAATAAATACAGGTAAATACTTGGTATATAATAAGGAATAACCTCTTGTTCTTCCTTCTTCCACTTCCTCCTCATTCTCTTTCCTCCTATCCCCATTCTCCCTCCTCCTTTTAGTCCTCCTCCTCCTATTCCCCCCTTCCTCCCATGTTCCCCATCCTCCCCCTTCATACCTGACGCCCCTTTTGGGATAGTGTGCACATAACACACAGTATATACTAAGCTTTTAACACACAGACACTGCACTCGATCTCCTTCACTTCCCCAACTGTAACGGAAGGGTGTCCAGTTACAGCTATGCGTCAGGGGGGGGGGGGGGTTAACCTGGGTACGAACCAACGACCTTCAGGCCAAGAGGCAAGCATTATAACCACTCGCCCACCACACCCCAAAACACCAATGAATTTACTAAATATCAGGTAAAAAAAATAATTAAAATACAGAAATACCTAAAATTCAGTCAGATTAGTTTGAAACAAGCAAACAAACACAGAGCTACATTCTAAATTTAACCTCATTTAAGTTGTTTTTCACGGTTAAATTCGTTATATATCCGGCAGAACACAAGGCCGGGATAATGTATTCAACAAAATATCCTGTCAGACGAGAAAACAGAGAGAGAGAGAAGACTCAGTATTATACATTGAAGTTGAACTCAGCAGCACCATGACTCAGAGACTGTGACGTCATATACCAGGCGAAATAAAAAGTAAAACCAATATTTTCAGTGGTACGAGGAATCGACATAACACCGAGTAATATTTTCAGTGGAATGAAGACCCAACACCGAGTAATATTTTCAGTGGTACGAGGAATCGACATAACACCGAGTAATATTTTCAGTGGTATGAAGACCCAACACCGAGTAATATTTTCAGTGGTATGATGACCAAACACCGAGCAACATTAACATTTAAACCTAAGTCATTACAGCCACTATGCATAGGTAAGCCTTCGTCATTACAGGTAAATTCATCAAAAAGCAGACAGAAAAAATAACATCAGATAATTAAAAGAAAACAAGCACTGTAACGACACTTTATCCACACAAACATTTCAGAAAACAAATACAACAATACAGGTGTATGCTTTAAGGCCTAACTCATTACCGCCATATTGTACAGCACAGGTGAGCTCGTTAACCATCAGGTGAAATAATAAACTAATGGACGATACTACAGAAAGGTTTCATTCAGAAGAGTAACCAAAATACATAATACAAAAAATACAGTAATATTGATTTAAATCCTAATTTATTACAGCCATTACAGTGCAGGTAAATTAATTAATCAGGTGAAATAACAGGTAATGACAAATGAGTTACGTTTTGATGAGTACAGACAATACAAAAAATACAGAAATATGGTTTTCAGCTCAAACTTATTACAGCCATTGCAGTACACGTAAATTCATAAAGCACTCAGGTGAAACAAATTACAAAAAAAAATACAATCAAACAATAACTCAAAATACAAAAAACTACAGTAATACAGTTTTATGGTGAAATTCCTTCCATTAATTACAGTACAGGTAAACTTATTAGAAAAGCAGGTGATGCAAAATACAAAAATACAATCAAACAATAACTCAAAATACAAAACACTACAGTAATGCACTTTTAAGCAGAAAGTCATTAGAGTCATTATGCTGCTATCATTATACGTATTGCTGGCGAGAGAGAGAGAGAGAGAGGCGGTGCTTGGAGTCCTCACATTACCATAACACAATTATCATAACACTTACACCTCAGCCCTAGTATACGACCCGCAGTTACCTCCCCCCCTCCCCCCACTAAAGATGCCCGTTTAAAAGCGCTCCACAATAACCGAAAGACGTTCACTGCTTTTGGGAAACGAAACATCCTTATAGAGAGCGCATTTAAGCGACATACAGCAACATTAGGCTAAAAGCGAGGCAGGGGAAGAGGGGGGAGGGGGGAGAGGGCAGAGGGAGGTGGGGGAGAGGGCAGGGGAGGTGGGAGGAATCACTGGAAAAATTACTGGTACTAGGAACATCGATACTGAGGTGTGGGAAGGAGATGAGTGGAGGTGGGAGGGGGGTGGGTGGAAGAGGGGAGGACGGAAGGGAGGGGAAGTGGGGGAGGGTGGTAGGGGAGGGGAGGGAAGAGTTGGAGGAAGGGAGGAATGAGGTGGTGGTGGAATAGGTGGAAGAAGGAATAGAGGGGGGAGAGAAGGTGGAGGAGGAGAAGGGAGGAGGAAGAGGAGGGAGGAGGAAGAGGAAGAAGAGGAGGGGAGGGGAGGAGGGGAGTAAGAGGAAACTACTATATCTAATGAATAAAAATTAAAGTCATTACTCATTACTAAGTCAAGGCAGAAACACCAGTACACACTACACCTGTACACTACACCTGTATAACCACACCTGTACACCACACCTGTACACACCACACCTATACACCACACCTATACACCACACCTGTACACCACACCTATACCACACTTGCACACCACACCTATACACCACACCTATACACCACACCTGTACACCACACCTATACAACACACCTGCACATCACACCTGTACACCACACCTCTTCACCACACCTGTACAACACACCTGCACACCACACCTGTACACCACATCTCTACACCACACCTCTACAAAAATAAAACCAAAACACACGCTAAGACCACTTCAAGCAACCCCCCCCAAAGTAATAAGACAAACAGACACATTACAGACAATATTAAAAAAAACCGTCCTAAGAGCAGCCGCCATAAGAACAACAAATAGTGAGGCTGTCGAAGGTTACCGGGTCGTGATGGCGGAGAGGTGAGGTGGCGA